GCTACCTAGGAATTCATTCCACTCATCTACCACTATTGCCAAAACCAATACTTCCCAGTATCCTTTTTTAATCTAAATGTCTCCAGCTTTAATCCATTGCCGCAAGTCGTATCTTGGTTAGATATTTGTACACTGCAATTATATCTCCCAATTCCAAGGAACACCAGTTCACTATCTTTAGCCTATTTTCGTAGGAAAAGTTTCTAATACATGGAAGCAACTCTACATTTTCGAACGCATTTATGCGCATCCTGTAACATGGAGACCTGATTTGAGTAACAACCTAAATGAGGTCTAAGCAAAGATATATAAAACTGAGGAGTAACTCAGGACTTCCGTTATTTATACTTGATGTAAAGCCAAGAACTATAAGCTTCATTGCGAACACTTGTACACTATTTTTGGCTTTAAATTAATGCTAATCAGAACTATCTTTTTCGCATTCACTTTGACCAAGATCTACATTGTTTAGCTTGTAAGTGCCAGTTACTTCCTTTTAATAGAATTAGAACCTTACACTTTTCTGCATTGAACTGCGTTACTTCTCCAATCACATCAACTTTTTCAGGTCACCCTGTAGCCTGCTAGTCTTCAAAAATTATGACTGCCTATTTTATTGTCCTCGGTAAACTTGCATATGTTGCAATATATTTCCTCGTCAATACCCTTTACATACATTATGGACAAGAGTCCCAATATTGTGGCACACCACTCAGAATGGGTTCCAATTCTGACTTCACCTTTATTTGTCTAGAAGTCAGCCGTGGCTACGCAGGAGGTAATTTCTACCTATACCATGTGTACCTACTTTTTTCACCAGCCCCTTGTGTAGGATTTACCGAAATCCACATATACAATATCGTATTTCTTATCTTGGGCTACTGCCTCTATTAGTAAAAATAGAGTTGGTAAATTTATCGATAAATCCGCAATTATCGATTCTATCAACTGTCCTAGAATTGAGGTTAGGCTGACTGGTCTGTAATTTGAAGCTAAGTACCTATCTTCCTCCTTGTAAACGAGCATCATATTTGTCATTTTCCACTTGTCCACTACAATACTTTATAGTGATATGTTGAAGAGTAACTAATGGTTGGCTAAGTTCCTGTTTACATTCTTTTAGAACACTTGAATTTATAATTATAATCATGGGGAGCGCTAAACCCATAGGACTATACAGCGCATGTCGGGGAGGGAAGGATGGAAGGTATTCGAGCTCAATTCAGGGAACCGGAGCACAAATTCAATTCCTTAGATCAAGAGCCCTTCAAGAGTGTCAAGGAACCTTGAGGGGTAGAACACTTGAAAACAGCTCGTCACGGCCGAGTGACTGTTTCAATTTATCAAGATGTTCAAGGACAATGTCACTAGTGACTGATCCTGCATAATTTATTCTCATCCTGAACTGTAAATTTATTAATCTCAGATTTGTGTCCTCCAAGTAAAAGCAGAGGAAACCAGTGTAGAAAAATAGTACACATTTTTGTCATTAACTGAAAACCGAGCTATTATTTCCCTAATGTTATTCTTATTATACGTGACTTCCCGCTGCAACCATCTATAGGTTCTCCAGTTTAAGATCCTTAATTTGGTGAATGAGCTATGCAGGTGCTGTATAATTTAAAATGGGGCCGATATATGTCACAAAAGGTCGTGAATGATTCTTTCACGAGATTCCCGAGAGTGAAAATATTAGTCAATAAGTTGACCCTCGCCGGGTCATCATCTGGAGAAGACCCGGGCCGGAAGTACCGGCAAATCAAAATGAATAAGTTGACCATCTTGTCTTCATGTCTTTTTCAAATAAGATACTTTAGTTTATCGTTCATCTACTTAGGGTGATTTAAATTCTCCTATTAGGAATATATGCAGCTTGGGGCAATTTGTAGTTTAACAAAATAGTTATCGACAGTCATCACCGTTTACCCAGCCTTCCCCATAATCCCTCATCAGGTTACCCCAGTCTGCACTATTCGGGTGCGCAAAACTAGGCACCTTGTGTACAAGATCCAAGATCAGCAGATTATTTCCTCTAGTCCAGTTATTTTTTTAGAAATTAGCCTAACTATGGAAAACCTGTGAAACTGCTCTGATCTAAATACCTTATTCATTTTGCACCACAAAAGTTTACCGCGGTGATTAGCTTTGGGAGTCCCAAGACCACATCCAAGATCAGAGTTTTTACTCTGAGAAACTGCGGTCAAACAGATTCAGTGCTTGTGCCTGTCCCTTACACCTTTATGTAATTTCCGATGCAACAGTTTTTTTTTTCCTTACCAAACTGGAACTTCGTCTCTTTCCTGTTGACTACGTCTACGTAATAATTTATGCCCCTGCATGTGGTCTTCAGCAGCCATGTCACTAGTTCATCTATTTTATTTCTCGCGCTCCGGCTGTTTGTGAAGTAGACGCTAAGGACTTTTTAGCCATGCTCTTCTACTGTGTCAACCAATTACCCTGTTTTAACCAGTAATTATTTTGAGCTCTGTTTTCCGAAGGT